ACAATGTGATTATTATAACCATTTTATGGAAATATTGATTTTTTGTTTAAAACTCAACTCCCTGTGTAAGTATGTTAAAATTGTTTTGTGCATAAACTAAATAATGTCTTTGGGCTGCCTAAATAAGTGAAATAAAAGACCTCATTCAAATTTCTTCCAATGAACATCCAAATGAGTGTAATTATTCTGTGATTACTGCCTTATGTTCATGCATATCGTTGTGCTTATAAATCGAGTAATCATCGTGGATGATTTATGTTTGATGTCACACAAAATTGAATACATACCAGCGAAAACTGACAAACTGGTCGAAGAAGCAGCAAAGACAGGACTCCAGGTGAACATAGACAACACGGAGGTTATGAAAATAACCAACCAACAACAACAACAACAACAACAGCAGCAACATCCAGCGACAATCACCATCAACGGGAGGGATTTGAAAGAGGTTACTTCATTCACTCACTTATCTAGGGAGCATTGTCTCAACTACAGGCAGGTGGAACGGACGAGGATGTCAAATCGAGAATCGGGAAGGCGAGAAACACATTCATCAACCTGAAACCAATCTGGAAATCTTCCACTGTCACTCAACCCAGCGTCAACAACAAAATTCGGAGTTTCAATTCAAACGTCAAGTCAGTCAGTTCTTCTATACGGATGGATCAGAAACTTGGCGGTGGGTCACAAAGAATATTTCCAACAGCCAGTTGCAGACCTTCATCAACAACTGTTTTCGCTCTATACTGAACAGATGGAAAAATCACCAACAAGAAACAAACTATGTGAAGAAACAAAACAAGAACCAATCGCTCAACAAATATGCAGGAGAAAGTGGAGATGGATTGGACACTCACTGGCTGAGGAGGCCGCTGGGTGACATCGCGCGTCAGGCCAGTGCTCGAGTGGAACCCGAAAGGGAAGCGGCGAGTGGGACGTCAGTGCAAGAGTGACATGGAGGAGATCGTGTGAAGAGGAGTTGAAACAGTATGGATTAACATGGATGCAGGTGAAAAGTACAGCAGAAGACAGAAGCAAGTGGAGGCGTGCAGTTGAAGCCCTATCTTCCAGTAGGAACCCAAGGGAACAATAATATAATAATAATAAACTAAATAATGTCTTTTGGCTGCCCAAATAAGTGAAAAAAGACCTCATTCAAATTTCTTCCAATAAACATCTAAATGAGTGAAATTATTCTGTGATTACTGCCTCATGTTCTTGTATATCACTCTGCTTATAAATTGAGTAACCTCATCAGTAAAAATAAATTAATACCTAAAATATAGCTATCACTTTTCTAATAATAAATGACCAAGGCACAGAAAATACTAGACCTGAAAAAGGTATTTCCTTTATTGCCTAACCATCTAAACCGACGGGTAACATACAGTCGGGATTTGTAAGAGAGCAAGCAACCTCATATATTCAGTCTCCACGATATAATCCAAAACTTATTGCATAAACGAAGTGCTGTGACGAATATTCCATGTAAGGATTAGACCACTAATCTTCTTATTCCAATGGACTGATACCACACACACTAACCTTGTAACTCACTGGCTGTTGAATTTACTGTTGAAGAGAGAATTGCATGTCTGTCTAACTACTTTTAATCTAAAATCAACACGAACTCCTTATTCTAACTTACACTAAGTGGTAGAAAATTCTTCGAAAGTATCTGTAAGCCGCATCATCCTGGAGGGAATCAAAAATGCCAACCTGGATGAAAAATTTCGACCGGAATAGGCTGGATTCAGGAGAAACAAGTCATATATTGATCAGATCGCCACATTGCGGATCATCATTGAACAAAGCTTGGAATGGCAGTCACCTCTCTACCTCACTCAACTTCATCGACTTTAAAAAAGCCTTCGACAGAGTCGATCGAGAGGTGCTTTAGCAACTACTTCGCTACCACGGTGTGCAACCGACAATTATACATCTCATCCAACAGCTGTACGACAATGCTGCATGCCAAGTAATCCACAACGGGAAGCTCACGGAATCCTTCGAAGTGAGGATAGGAGTAAGACAAGCTGGCTGCCTAATATCGCCAATGATTTTCTTGATTGCAGTAGACTGGATAATGCGACAAACAGTGGGCAATGAGGAAACAGGCATAAAATGGACTCACACAAAGAACTTGGAGGATCTGGACTTCGCCGATGATATATGTCTGATTTCCCACAAACTGGATGATATGCAAGTGAAAAGCAACAAGTTGGCAGAAGAAGCATCAAAGATAGGACTCCAAGTAAACAGAGAGAACAGAGGTTGTCAAGGAACTTAGCCCTAAGTTCCTATCGTAATGAAGACTTAAGCGATTGAGCCGATAAATACTATGTACTTTCTTCAACTTTTAATCCAAAACACCAGTATTCCTTGAACGAAATTATATTGTTTGGCAATTAAATTGAAGAAAACTACAAAGTCTACAAACAAATGTTAAGTACAAATGAAGTTATAAAGTACTTTTATTCGTATTTAACTCCAGTCTTCCTTCAACTTACAAGCGATCGACCATTTGTGCCTTTCAGTTGCCCATTAATGGCTGCCAGACCCAATAAAACAAACGTTCAGTGTTCACGTCCATTGACAGAGGTGATGAGGATTCCTGGCCAACACCACCAACAGCAACAACAACAACAGACAACAATCAGCCAGCATAAATGGAGGGAACCTGAAAGATACAACCGCTTTTACCTACCTGGGAAGCACCGTTTCAACTACAGGAAGACGGAACTGACGAGGATATCAAAGCAGCGAGGATAGGGAAAGCAAGACAAGCTTTCACTACTCTCAAGTCTGTGTGGATGTCAACAGAACTCAGCATCAAAAATAAGATCCGGATTTCCAACTCCAATGTGAAGTCAGTGCTACTCACTATACGGATGGGTCAGAGACTTGGCCAGCGCGTCAAAAAGAGCATCTCAAACAAACTACAGACCTTCAACAACAGTTGTCTTGGCTCAATACTACTCAAGTTCAGATGGCCGGCCAAAAAGATCAGCAACAAGGAGGGATCTCTGGGAGTGAACCAACGAGGAACCGATTGTGAAAGAAATAGGCAGGAAGAAATGGAGATGGATTGGCTGCCCATACTCTGAGGAAACAATGCATCAAGTGACATCACTAGACAATCCGTTGCTCGAGTGGAACCCAATGAAAGGGAAGCGGCGAGTTGGTCGTCAGTGGGAGGATGGGTGACTTGGAGGAAGTATTGTGAAGAGGAGATGAAGGCGTGTGGGCAGACTTGGAGCCAGGTGAAAACTCTAGCAGAGAACCGAACGCAATGGAGACGCACGGTTGAAGCCCTATGTTCCTCTAGGAATTAAAGGAAACAATAATAATAATAAATCTGTAACAAAAACAAACTGTAGAGCTATTCCAGCGTTTTAATGACTGATCCGGAGTCAGATATATACCGACAATTTTCTGGGAAATGAAGAAAAGTGGATTACCAATAATAACAATGGCTTTATTTTGTACAGTGTAAATGAAAGTTGTGTGAGTAGTGTGTCTTATTATGATTATGAGCAGTAATAAATTGTGCTCGAAACGTTATCAGTAAATATTATTGTACAACACTGTGTGATTTTATCAAAACATTTTATCCATGAGGCAGTTATCAAACCCCTCGATTACGTATGATTATTCACAGTTTTTTTAAAGTTGTTATTACACATACATTTTGATCTGTTTTGCTACTAACCGACTATACCACCAGACCTTCATTGTCAGTTAACATTGGCTTATATAAACCCCCTAAATAACTGTACTGTTTTAAAATGAAGTTACGAAAAGACGTCTTTTTTTTGCTGAATCTTGCGTTCTTATTTACACGACAAGGGAATTCTTCATACCATGAAGAAATCAAAGTCAAATTACAGTATGTATAATTCCTTGTTTATTAATAGAAAATGAAAATTACCTAATTTGTGTACAAATGAAAGTATGAAAGTAACGAAAAAATACAAAATAAAAGAACATATCGAAGCAAAACGGACAGAGAAATAACTTTATAGAAAAAAAGTAAAGGAAGTTACAGGGGAATCAGAATGCAGAAATATAAAATCTGCCGCGTATTATTATTATTACAAGAAGCGCAAATATAGTCAATAACAGAACCTAATAAGTGGTGTAGACATTATGTACAAAAGAGGAAAAAGTTAAGCCTTAAACCCCGAACTCAAACCTAATAATATATGTCTGACCTAACCTTAATCAATTCTAATATCTTCCTAATTAGGTTAACTTAACCCTAACCTATCCCTAGCCTAAACCTAACCTTATTATTTCCCTAACCCTAACCTAAAACTAACCAGATAGCCTGTTCAGTATCACTACCCTTCATTCAACAATCTTTTTTTTCGTGAATATAGTGTTATTTACCTGATTTCACCGCCTTGCTCTAAATAAGCATTACAAGGTTATTGGTAGGTTAGAGCCTGCTGGGTGTCTATAGTTTTACTTCACTGAAAAGAAGAGTGATAACTAAAGTTGTAGGGAGGCTTATATTTTAAGGAGATTTATACTAGTGCGTGCGTCGGTGGCATAGCGATAAGGACGCTCGCCTACCATGCACATGGTCCGGGGTTCGATCCCCGGCCCGGCGCACTCCTTTACTTCACTAAGCCAGAAATAAAGCTGGTGAAGAAGAAAGGTTGGGCGTGAGGCTAACAACCCCATCCTGTGAAACTAAACACTGCTACCGAAACTTCAAGACTCTAGCTTGAAGCCCTATGTTCCACTGGGAACGTGAAGGAATAAAAAAAATACTAGTGCCATCTAAGTGACTAGTTCAGCGTTAAACATGTTCCTGATCAACTGAAAGATTGCAAAGGCTGTTCAAATTTAAATTTCTTTTCTTTTTTTAATAACAAGACGATGAGTTATACTACACTGCACCACTTGAGCATATTATTAGTAAGACAGGGAGATTTAGGAGAAAGAATAAAGAAGCAACAATATCAGGCAGTTTTACACATACATGGAGAAGGTTTTTAACAAACAGAGTCTTTAATATATAATGGAGACACCCATGAAGACTGTACTACATACAGAAAGAGAGGATCAGACAAAAAGGGAGAAACTGACATTGTATACAATGTATACAAGAGGTTGATGAAGTAAAATGCTATAATAAATGCAATTCATTAAGATGCTGGCATACTTTGTTTTAATAATTCATCCGCCCCCCCCCCGTATTACTTACTCATTAACTCATAAATACGTTGTAAACGCTTTCTAATGCGTAATGCTGATAAACGTGAATCTGGTTCAGTTGTCCAACATTCTGGTAGTAGGAGAGCAAATTGATTAGCGATCAAATTTTGTAATATTATGATGATTTCTAATTCATCTGATTTATGTAGTAACTTAGAGTTGAAGCTTAAATTTGTGTGATTGTTACTCTGTAGTGAGGATGCACCGGAAGATGATGAGTCTTGGTAAATTCTAGAGGCTGTAAGAGATAATAATAATATATTATTATTAGAAAGAATGCAAACAAAATAACACATTTATTGTAAAATAATAATCATCACCTAGTGCGTCGGTGGCATAGTGGTTAGGACGCTCGCCTACCATACACATGGTTCGGGGTTCTATGCCCGGCCGACGCACTCCTTTACCTCGCTAAACCAGAAATAATCTTGGGAAAGAGGAAAGGTTGGGCATGAGGCCAGCAACCCCATCCTGTAAAAAATAAACACTGGTACAGAAACTTCAAGCCACTAGCTTGAAGCCCTATGTTCCACTGGGGAACGTGAAGGAAAAAAATAATCATCACCACTTCTTTTAGAGATTTAATTCCACAGTGAAGATCATCTCTGAAGCATATTGAAATACACCTCATTGACTTAGATACTCAGCTTCCAGCTAGGGTGTTTCGGCTGTTCAAATCCCACTCTGTCTACTTCGACTAAGGGCAGGTCGAAGAAATCATCACTGTTCAGTTGACATATGAAAAATCATTTCCCCATAACTAGCTAACTAACTAAAAAGTGAGCTGATATCATTTGGATGTTCATTTGAAAAACCAGTGAGTGTTGGACAGTCGTTTCTTCCTTGTTTGGGAATCTTCATCAACACTCATCTACCGGGGTTCGAACCCAGGACCTCTCGATTACGAGGCGTGTTCCTAGACCTGTCAGCCTCCGGGACGCTGTCGAATGTCCTATGAATTCCAACTTTCAACAGTTCATGAGAGACACTGCAAACGCCAGCCAATGTTACTGACGAGTAGCTTCCCTCTTGCCAGCCTTGTTGAACCCTACTGGTCACAGTAGAACTCTATTTAACTTCCTACAAACAGCCAGTCGCTAGCATGTATCAGATTAATTTTCGAGTGTTATTTTTGCAGAAATTTGATTGGTTACAAGTTTGAACACGGGCTTACATCAGTCAGAGACCCATTGGAAAAAATCAGGGAGTTCTCTAATTGACATCACCTCGTGACAAAACCTGTAACCAGTGAGATCCTCTTAAACCAACACTTAATAACTAAAATGTAATCATGTACAAATTTAAAATCTAGTGCTCTGAATTAAACCTTAAAAGATGAAACACATTCATATCATTTTGACAGTCTGTCTGTCTGCCTGGATTCAACATAGAACTTGGCACCGAAGTGCAGCAGTTCCAGTTGCCACGTTCCAAATACCACACAAAGGTATACAAGAAGATGAGTGAAGAGAATCAATAGAGTTTTGACAAGTATAAGAGTGAAACAGAATGAGTAATGGTAGAAAGGAATATGAGACTGAATATTACAGAGACTGAATATATCTGCGTAAGCCATTGACAACGATTTTGAGTCATGTCACCTACTGTCTGTCTCCAGCCATTGATCCTTAGAGTCCCGAGGGCGGGCCTCAACCCGGAAGTCTGCATCTCCCTACCTGACTCAGTTTAACTGTCAAGGATTTCATGGATTGATTGATGCCATGTTTTTGTTTGGCCACCACTTACTCTTTTCCAACCTGCACCTATATCAGCTAGTAATGCCCGTCAGTCGGGAGAAGCGATGGTTAGGCATGCGCAGCACGTGACCTAGCCATCTCAATCTATGTAACTTTATAGCCTCTTAGATTGATTTTCCCTCTTTGCCCAACACTCGACGCCTAACGTCAAACATTACTTACCTTATTATGCCACCTAACGTGGGAAAGAGATCGTAGACATCTATGATCAAAAACAGTCAACCTTTTCATGTCTTCAACTCGTATTGGCCATGTTTCAGAGCCATAGAGAAGGACGGAGCGAACTGCTGAGCAGTACACACGTCCCTTGGTTGATAGCTGGATGTCACGCCTACGCCAGAGATGGTGTAAGTTAGCGAAAGCAGCTCGAGCTTTTTGGATCCGCGCTATATACGTAACAGATTCACTTGTAGGGAACAAAACAGATATATAGAGGTCTGAACAAGCTTCACACATTTCATTCCTAACAATCCATTTGTATATCTTTACTGCAAGAGTTCAAAGAAAGGTGTTTTGGACAATCAGGACTTCAAGAAATGAAATCATAACGGCTGTAATGTGTTAAGTTGGTGTAATCCTCATCTAAGTGTATCTATCCTTGAACAGCTGCTAGGGACAAACTAACCATCAGGTCAGGTTGGATAAGGCTGTGGAAACAGCAGATTGTGGGCCATAGCATAAGTCTAGATGGTCATATATATACTAGCTAAATGCCTTTCATGAAACTTAAGTACCAACCCAGATACTTCCCATTATATTCGCTAGTTAGTAAAGATTTTTTCGGCTGTTTGAATACTGTGAACTTTTTGAGAGTAATAAACCAAATCAATATCCATTACTTTTGATCTGTGACAACGTGGAACAGTGAGCTAATTGTACTTCTAAACAGGCAATCAAACTCCTTATAAACGAAGTAGTAAGATCAATGCAATTACAGTTCATTAAAGATACTTAAATTATAATAATAAAAAAGATATAACAGCGAATAGAATATCAACTAAAATTAGGGAAATTTCACAAAAATTGAGGATCATTCAAACCTAGATGGCCAAGGTAAGGATAATGTCTTAACTAACTTCTTTTGGACGCACAAATTAGGCTTTAATATGATCCCAACAGCCTCAGCAATATTTAGTAGTCGAAGTCTTAAGGCGAAATTGAGATTTGCTGGTATGAGGCAAATGACCCTGAAAGCTTGGTTAACGTCAATCTTGTGTTCTGTCTCCACAAGATGAGACAGAATAGCGCTGCGAATAGATTTTGTTTGTCCTTTGCTTAACCATGCAGGATGATGTTCGGAAATTCGACGAGAAACACGCCTAATTGTACGGCCTATGTAACTGGCTCCACAGGAGCAGTTAAATTGGTAGATACACATGGAAGAGGCGAAATTAGGCAGTTTGTCTTTTATTCCCGAACGCAGAAGAGGAGTGGTTTTAAAGATACAGCGTAATTCAGCAGCAGGGAATGCTCTTTTTACCGCATTTCTAAGGCACTGTGTTAGTATCTCACTGGTGTTGTCTCCTAGGAACTGCATCTGTAAGAATAAGGCCTTTTTTGGAACTGTTGGTAACTTGGGCTGCTTTGGTTTCAGATTCAGATTCTTATCAATAAACTTTTCAGGATAACCATTCTCACTTAGCAACCATTTAATATTGTTAAGTTCCTCGTCAAGACATTCGTCCGAGAAAATCTCTCTTGCTCTGTGGACCAAGCACTTTATTAGATTGCATTTGTATTTCAAGGGCACAAGGCTGAGAAAATGTGTGTACTCGCCCGTTGATGTAGGTTTTCTATAAACACTTCTTCTTATTGTGCCGTCCTCTTTTCTGGTCATAAGGACGAAATCGATATTATTTAAAAAACACTAATATTGTTATTAACTACTAATCTAGAATATTCTGTGTATATAAACATGCATACATATAATTGTAGAGCCTGGAAGAGGAATTTATCGAAAAGAATATTCTTTGCTCGATTACTTTGTGTTTTATAGATGTGTGAATGAATATTTTTACTATATTGAAGTAGTAAGACACAAGAAATGAAGTTTTTCAAAAGTCTGGAAAATATATAAGCATCGCTATCATAGTAATTGGTGTAAGAATATACAAGGTTTTACTTAAATATATTCGTTTCTTAAAATCCACCAGTTGTATCACAGTATGAATACTGAGATGTACATTGTATTTCCAATTATTATTCACTGGTGAAATGTACCAACAGAAAGAAAGATTAGCGATGAGTACTCTAATTACTCCATTACTTGACGATTGAATAATCTGGCGTACCTTAAGTTCAATGTCCTCTTATCAATAGCCAATCGGTTCAAAATTTACAAGTAGTGAATGGATGATATCTTTATCGTCCTTGGAAATAGTGGTTCAAATAAAGGCCTGGAAGTCTCATTTAAAATTGGAGAGGAGTTGGAAGGTAGATTCCCTTTTCAGATACCAAGGTTCCAAGATGAACAGATAGAAGTCTACAAAGATCAGTCTACCGTAAGCCAAAATAGAATGAACAGTTGACAAACTTTTACAGTTTGTTTTCCCAGTAAGTAGGAAAATAAATTTCATTGCCTCCCTTGTGGCTGGCTGCACTGAAGATACACTGAGCGAAAAAGTTGGAATCCTTCAAAAACGCTTTAATCAGACAAACATTTAAAGAGGAGGACCGATACTCCAAGAAAAATGGATGCGCTGAAGAAACGACTGTCAGTAAATCTGAAATTCAAGGGGGTATTTAATTGGGGAAGTTTTCAAAGTTACTTGTCGACAGCAGTTTGATTAACGTTCTTTGCCGCATCTCTATGCCTCATCTCCTGCACATGTGCCTTTGTTCACCAAACATCAAAGACAATATCTCGCTACTGGCAACTTCAGTGTGTATTTACCGATTCACTGGCTTCCGTGAAGTCAAATGCCCAAGCAGGATGCAGAACACTTAAAAGCTCCGTTATGGAGCACATCATTATTTCTGATCACACAGAATCATCAGAGACCTTACATAAAGTATGATCACGCCGTTCGAAAGGATTTTGCCTGCTTATTTGCCACATAGTCGGAGCTGTAACAGTGCATAGAGAGAAACCTATCGTTTGCATTCAGAAACACTTTATTTAACCTCTTTTACTACCATTGTCTTTATATCAATTTTTGTTCATGTTCAAATTTATGCACATTCGTAAAACAAACTGCAAAGTCACTATACATAAGGTAATGAGAAACCAGAGAAAAAGGACATTGAACAGAGCACAGGATTGCAGTCAAATCTTTATCTCCACTTCATCGACTTTGGAAATGACTTCGACAGTGTTGACGCCGAAGTCATTTGAAAACTGCTTCAACACTACGGAATGTGATCCCCCCAAAACATTTGTCATCCCCATTCAACAGGCACATGATGATGCCGAATGTCAAGTGATCCGCAGTGGACAAATCAGCTACGCCTTTGAAGTAAAGACAGGAGTAAAACAAAGCTAACTATTATTACCGAAGATGTTCCTTATTGTGGTGGGATACATCATACGGCAGGTCATACGTTGGAGCCAGAAGACAGTAATACGTTGGACTGATAAGAAGACTTCGGCAGACTTGAACTTAGCGGATGACTTATATCTAATTTCACATAAATTATACAGGCGAAAATCAAAAAATTGGAAGAAGGTGTGGACATAGAGAAAACGGAGGTATTGAAAATATCTAACCAGTAACAGCAAGCATCGAATCACTATGAATAGAAGGAAACTTATCTGTGAATCACTGCCTCAACTACAAGCGGTACAGATGAAGATGTCAAAGCCATTATAGGAAAGGCAAAATTTATTTACTGATTTGAAATCGGTGTGCAGATCTGTTGCAATCAGCATAAAGAGCAAGATTCGGATTTATAACACTAATGTCAGTCACTGCTCCAATGTTATCCAGAGACGTAGAGCGATACCAAAAACATATAGAACAGGCTTCACACCTTTATGAACAGCTCCCTTCACTGGCTCCAAACTGAATACCAGATGTCGTCTAGGTAGAATTAACAACAAGGAGCTCCGCGGCGCAACGAATTAACCAAGAACCTATTGCCTAACAAATATGGAAATGGATTTGGTACATTCTAAAAGGGAGTTGAGCGACATCGCTCACCACGTCCTTGAGTGAACAGGAGTCGAGCGTGAGTTCCAGGGTGACAGGGAGGCGGTCGTGCGAAGAGGAAATGATAGTTAATCTACCATCGTGGAGCCAGATAAAAATGGCTGCAGAGAACAGGATGAAATGGAGATGTGCTGTTGAAGCCCTATTTTCCACTCGTAACCCAAGGGAATAATAATATTAATTATAACAATACTTACTTAACTTCTCATTATCCTCAGTAATCAAATTGTCGTTATTCTTATTATGGTCACTGTTTGTGTTACGTAACTGCATGTGTGCTGCCGTCACAGTACCACAAAAGGACGAGATATTTGGATGAGAACTACTGCGTACCGCAATCATTCCGTTGATCATTTCAACTGGAAGTGGTGTCGGTGTGCGAGGTCTCAATTGTTGTTCACACACTAATTGGAACATTGTCTGAATATCTGGCTCTTTATTCTACAAACAAAAAGAGACATGAGAAAGTATAAGACAGTCAAGAATCTAAGAAGTCGACATACTGCATAACTCATTTACGATATTCAACAAACTTGTTTTGATTGGACACCAGGTGTCTGGTCCTTGTCTTGGTGCAGACTGAATTCCATCAGTCAGGTTTGTGATGTAGCTACCATTCTTGGGGTGGCTCGCCACCGTGGTCTTTCTGAGATTCAAACCTAGGCCACCAACATTGCAAGCCTGACTTATAGAATCCAGTCTGCACCAACACCAAGGACGAGACGCATGGAATTAGTTACTACCCAGTGTTCTATCAGTGTGTCCACTGCAGTCCTACAGTGGGTCAATCCTGATCCCGAATACCTTAATGGTAATGCGATCAGTTACAGTATTGGGTGACATGGGTTCGGATCTCTGAAGGAAGCATGAATTCCCTCAAGATTGCAGATGCGCCTTGCTGACAAGTGTCAACAAGCACGAAACCTAGTTTCAAGGCTTCCTGTCGATTGCCTACGAAGATCTGACAACAACACACAAACTTGACTGTAAATCAGACATGTATTGTACGAAATGCAGATTATACAATTTATCTGTTCAAAGCTCAAGAAGCATGTACAGGCGATTTAACTGCTGGCATGATTCCTGGAGTTCACAAAATAAACTGCAGAGCCAACAGATGTGACAGCTTAGACGACGAATATTGAGATTGAAATGATAACAGTAACAGGGGTAATATTTAGATGATGTAGTCTAAATGGAGCATGATGCGCATCTTCTGACCCACAGTTCTGACTACCATTCAACAAGTTGTGGGTTATTTCTGTCAGCTATCAAATATACAGTATTTGTCATGTTGACTAGTTTATAGCAACACATATTTCTCGGTCTATCTTGGCCTTACATGCAGGTCCAATCATATTCATATTCATATTCTGGATATGTCAGGTTCCCCGTACCATTCAATAGCGAAATGGCTCACTGACATTTTAGAACCTGTACGAAAACGAATGTGCCACTATTCACTTCGTGACACTTTCCAATTCGTCGATTACATTAAAGATATCAATACAAAGAACAAAACTATGCTCTCCCTCGACGCTGAATCACTATTTACCAACGTTCCACTCACAGAAACTGTCTCTTATATTTTTCACTATATCGACGAAAATCAGCTGGACATCGGATTACCGACGACCTGTTTAAAAGAACTACTACTGAGATGTACACTCAATGTGCAATTCACATTCAACGACATTATTTACAGACAACAAGATGGGATCGCAATGGGATCTCCACTGGGCCCATTACTATCAGACTGCTTCATGGCAAGCCTCGAGAACGGCCCACTCAAATCAACCATCGACAATTTCCAGTTGTACGTTAGATATGTTGACGACATCTTTATCATCTGTGATGACGATTACAATCTCAATCAACTACTACAAATATTCAACAAATGCCATCCAGGCACAAAGTTCACTTTGGAAACTGAAAACGAATCAAAAATCCCTTTTCTTGACGTAGAGCTTACAAGGAGAGACGACGGAACTTTAAGAAGGTCAATCCATAGGAAACCGACTTGGAACGGACAATTAACAAGTTTCTACAGCTGGGTACCAATCAGTCGGAAAAGAAACCTAATTAAATCCCTTGCCACTCGCGTCAGACGCATCTGCAGCTCCGACACCATGGAAGTAGAACTAAACTTCCTGAGGGAAATCTTCATACAAAATGGCTACCCACCAAGATTTGTGGACAAAAACATCAAACAGAAAAACCAAAAGCAAGAGACAGCATCCGTGCCGAAAAAGATACTTTATATGAACCTAGATTTCAAAGGAGGCCTACTTAGTGACGTCCTCAGAAGGAGAATTTCCACCTCTTTAGGAAAAACCTTCCCTGCGGCAACACTAAGAATAGTGTTCTCCAGTCGCCCGCTGATCTGCAGAAACCTAAAAGACAAGATTCCGCACATGACCACTTCTATGTGTATATATCAGTTCACCTGTTGCTGTGGAGCCAGGTACATCGGTCGTTCAACGCGCATCCTGTCAAAAAGGGTCAAAGAACACTACCCAGCGTGGCTACAGAAAGGAAATAATGGCCATATAAGGAGTGCAATAATCGAACATCTAGTCAACACTGGTCATTCCATATCAACGAACGCCTCCTTTAAAGTGATCTACAAAGTGAAGAACAACCTCCCAAAGACAGTACGATTTCGTCTTCTTTGCATCGCAGAAGCCCTAGCCATCCAGTTGGCTGAACCAGAACTATGCATACAAAAGAAAATCATCCAACCACTTCTACTCGCATGGTAACAACTCCGTTGATTTGACCCAACTCTTCTTTGTTTGTTTGACTTGACCTTACTTCTGTTTGTATGCTTATTTTTTTCTAACTTAAAACCCTTGTGTAATTCTATATATTATTTTGTTTCCATGCACAACCTTTGAGTACAACTCATTCATCAAACTATTCATACCATTACGTAACTCTTATTTAACAATCATTTATGACAACTCATCATTTTTGTTACTACCCTCTTATATGAACATCCAATTCACCTAAACTTACTCCTCTTTAACAATCGTTTTGACAACTCATCACTTTTGTTGCTATCCTCTTATCAACATCCAATTCATTTGAACTTACTAACCGTATTTTGTTTGACAAATTTAATGTATACACACACACACACACACAAAATAACCATATATATTTGCGATTGTACAGCTTTGAAAATGAATTCGCCGAAAAGAGACTCTTCACTGAACTACTTGTCTTTTGTCTACATATTCATATGGTCAAAGTTGAATAAAATTGCATCACAAATTATGAAGTCCGCTAGTAACCTCCATTATCAGGCTGGCTGACTGACTGACATTCAACATAGAACTTTGCTTAGAAGTACAACAGTTCAAGTTACCACACTCTATATTGCACACAAATGTAGAGAAAAGGAAGAAATTGAAAGGAACCATAATGAGCAGAAACATACGGGATAATGAATGGTAATGTGAAAAGAAAAACACAAGTACTCAATGGATGTTGGATATTACAAAGAGTGAATGCATCTGTCGCATAGATGAGAACAGTTTTGAACCATATCATCGACAGACAGTCTGTAGTTGTTAGCTCTTAGCATCCTGAAGACTTCAACCAGGAAACTCTTTGCACTGTATGGACCAACTGCAGAAGACTTCATAAATTGATATGAGGTGAGGGTTTGACCACTCCTGAATACTTACCAACCTAATCCTATGTCCCTCAGTACTATCTGACAAGCTAGGTAGTGGCGCAGAAAGCGTAACACGCATCGTAATCATCTCAACCAATGTAGCTTGACGACCACCTTATCAGACCTCACCTACACAATCATCAGCAGAGTCTTTGATAGAAATAGAAATTCACATGTGTGATTGAGTCCTACTGCAACTAGACTGCAAACATAATTAGTTAACCGAATGGTGTATAATTTGAATCTCATACCAAGTTAGTTAGATTTCTCATCCGAACTAGCTGTTGAGCCTTGGAAAATGGGACATCTTTAACAAGTGCTAACTTGTATACACTTAACAAGTATGTGGTTGTAAAAGTATTTTACACTTAATGCTACTATATTCAAAGTTCAGTAGATCCACAGCATCGGCTTTTGACTGAAGAAATGCCTAGTGTGTCAGAAATAAATTATGAGCTTTGGTTTGGCAAAAGGCACTACTGAATAACCTGGTGCTTCTCTGTTAAATGACCACACTTCCTTGAACGCAGTTTACGTCAGAGTCTTCAAATAGAGTTGAAACAATGAGGTACTGATAAGCTGAATATCCTTTATTTATTACTCAGCCTTGATTTTCCCTGCTTAGTTCGAAAGTTAGTATAAGTCCATCCAGGACTATTTTTGTCTTTCAAACCAATTGCCGGAGTAGCATTTCATCGCTGTACGATAACGGCACATGTCAAGTGATCCACAACGGAAAACTCAGCGAGGCGTTTCGAGTAAACACAGGAGTCAGACAAGGGTGCTTATTATCACCAATGATATTCCTAATTGTGGTGGACTGGATTATGCGTCAAACAGTGGGAAACGAGAAGACAGGGATATCCTGGACCAACGTGAAGAACGTAGAAGACCTGGATTTCGCAGATGATTTATGTTTGATGTCACACAAAATCGAAGACTTACAAGCGAAAACCGACAAACTGGTCGAAGAAGCAGCTAGAGAAGACAGGACTCCAGGTGAACATAGACAAGACGGAAGTTATGAAAATAACCAATCAACAACAACAGCAGCAGCAGCAACATCCACCGCTAATCACCATCAACGAGAGGGATTTGAAAGAGGCTACTTCATTCACTCACTTATCTAGGGAGCATTGACTCAACTACAGGCACATGGAACGGACGAGGATGTCAAATGGAGAATCGGGAAGGCGAGAAACACATTCATCAACCTGAAACCAATCTGGAAATCTTCCACTGTCACTCAACCAAGCATCAACAACAAAATTCGAATTTTCAATACAAACGTCAAGTCAATCAGTTCTTCTATACGGATGGATCAGAAACTTGTTGGCGGGTCACACAGAATATTTCCAACAGCCTGTTGCAGACGTCCATCAACAGCTGTCTTCGCTGGCTCTATACTGAAGATCAGATGGCCGGAAAGAATCACCAACAAGAAACTATGGGAAGAAAAAAAAAAAGAACAAATCGCCCAACAAATATGCAGGAGAAAGTGGAGATGGATTGGACACCCGCTGAGGAGGCCGCTGGATGACATCGCGCGTCAGGCCATAGCTCGAGTGGAATCCGAAAGGGTAGTGGCGAGTGGAACGTTCAAGATTGACATGGAGGAGATCGTGTGAAGAAGAGTTGAAACAGTATGGATTAACATGGACGCAGGTGAAAAGTACAGCAGAAGAGAGAAGCCAGTGGAGACGTGTAGTTGAAGCCCTATGTTCCACTAGGAACCCAAGGGAACAATAATAATAATATTTCATCGCATAAGGACACAATATATCCAATTTGGAGAAATAATATAATTTACCAGATACCATGTAAATAATATGAGGTTAATTACACAGGTCGAACTAGTAGATCAGAACCAGCTAGATTATCGGAGCACAGAATTTTACCTATATCTTGAATGACCTACCCTACTAAGTGCAATAGTAGAGAAAATATCTCGTCTAATGCAATATATCCACTTGCATCTAATCATACATAAGTGTCAGCTAGTGTAAAAGTATTGAAAAGTGATTCAATCAAGTCGAGAGGGAGAGATTAGTCATGGTATCTTTGTTTACCGATTCTCCACCAGACATGTGGGATAGATAAAAACTGCAACAAAAATCAAGAGGGAGTAAGGCTGTAACAACAGAAGACGAGGGCCAGGCAACAGAACGTTTATTACCGAAAATCAACACGTATTTATAGATTTTGATGTACATTATTGTAGGTTAATGTTAGTAGAAAATACAGTCTGTTGATTGGTTGTTTCTCACACAAAGTTAACCTTGCATCTCTTGTGGCTGTGTCAGTTCATCAATATGTTAACTGTATCCGCCTGTCCGTCTTGACCTTTGACCTCAATTACTGTCAACCAGTTGGCTAGTAGACAGCTCTCACCACAAGGCTATGTCAAGCAAGTTAGGAAGTCGTGTCAACATACTTATATGATACTGTATGGCGAATCGCTTCCAAATGACTAAGGAAAGCTAAAAAGAATGGTTTTGGTACTTGTAATCAAAGCGTTTTGAGCTTGTTTGGGCCCAATAGTGCTCAGCTAGGCTGCCTTGCTTACTACTCATAAACCCTTTAGTAATCATAGCATAAGCCCAATAGACGGTATGAGCGTGAGTTATAACATTCTCATAGCTCGCTTATATGACTGTGGATGGTTTTCTCTAGTTTTGGTAGACTTATGGAGGCTGTTGCATGATAAACTGGGTGACAAGCGACAGATTGCATTGGATTTGGTGGGTTCTGGCTTCGTTTATGGGGGCCTCTGTCACCATAGCGTCGCTACACATGCTACTCTTGCATATAATAAAGCGTATGGCTGGTCTTGCATTTCGAGGTGGGCTCTACTGGGCTTGTCTGTGCAATGCATAATTGACTGACGCTATCATTGATCGGTGCAAATACGCTTACCTATGCATTCTTGTATATACTAAAGGTGTAACAACAGAAGACAAGGGCCAGGCAACAGATCGTTTATTAAAGAAAATCAACACATATTTATAGATTTTAATGTACATTACTGTAGATTATTGTCAGTAGGAAATACAGTCTTTTGATTGGTTGTTTCTCACAGAAAGTTAACCTTGCATCTCTTTGTAGTTGTGTCAGATCATCCATATGCTAACTGTATCCGCCTATGCAAAGCCTTTGTTGTCATTTTCTCACCACCAATATTGGGGACATAAACATCGACGTCAATTACTGTCTAGCAACTCTGGCTAGCAGCCAGCTCTCACCACAAAGGTACGAATGGTCCACGATGGATAGGGATCTCGAGTGTTTGAGCCACAGGACGATACTGCATGCTAGTCTCGTCTCGCCAAAGGCACGGATAGGTGTGTTCGGTTCTCCTGAAAGCCAATACCCAGTCACTGGGTGTACTATCATCATGTGGACAAACTGTTTGATCCTGCCAGTAATCATTTACTTGTTTCAGCGATTAAGCCATGCATGTCTAAGAGTACATACCTTAAAACGGTGAAACTGCGAATGGCTCATCAAATCAGCTATGGTTCCTTAGACCATATATACTACATGGATAGCTGTAGTAATTCTAGAGCTAATGCATACAATAGCTCTCTTTCACACCAAAATGAAATAAGAACAAATTAGTTCAGCGAAGAGTCTCTTTTCGGCGAATTCATTCACTTAGCTGTACAGTCGCAAATATATATACAATTATTTTGTGTGTGTCATAAGGTTTGTCAAAATCAAAATAACAGTTAGTGTGGGTTGTTGATTTTATCATCAAAATAATGAAGAAATTAAAATGTGTGATTAATAATCAAAGTTTTAACTAAGTGGGGTGAAGATTGGTAAGATGTGAGTAGGATTACGTAATATAGACATGTTTAGAAAGATTAGATGTTAGTGAAGGAGTTTGGAGACAATTATGAAAATAAACTAGATAATAGGTGAAAAGATTGAATGGGTTAGTTACTAAAAATTATTATGCGAAAATTGCAAAAATTTGATAACAAAATGTTAATGACAGATAAACTTGAAATTAAACCCACGGTAGTAGGAGGGAGTGGAGAAGTTTCTTCTGTGTGCATAACTCAGGCTTTTCTATCCAAATCGCTAAGGCTTCAGCAATACAAACTATACGGAAGCTTGTCGATTTTGGAAGGCTTCTTTTGACTTTATAGATGACTTTGAACGACTTCTCCTTGCTAATCGGATGACCAGTGTTGAGTATATGCTCAATAATGGCGCTCCTTATTGCTCCATTGTTACCTTTCCGTAGCCAGGCGGGATAGTGTTCTTGAGCTCTTTTAGATAAAACTCGCATCGAACGACCTATATACCTCGCTCCGCAAGAGCAGGTGAATTGGTAGATACACATGGAAGTGGTCAAATGCGATAGTTTATCTTTAGAGTAGTTGAAGAACAATGGCCGGGAGGAAAATGTCAGTCGTAGTGTGGCAGCGAAGAATGTCCTTCTGAGAGCAGCAGATATCCTCTTCTTCAAGGTGTCAGCCAGAAGGTCACCTTTGAAGGGTACATTCATGTAGACCATCTTCTTCTGCACTGTAATGGGTTGTTCTTTGTACGTCTCAGGCTTAATGTGCTTGTCTATAAAACGGGGTGGGTAGCCATTCTCGAGCAGTGTCTTCCTTAAGAGGGCGATCTCTTCCTCTTTTGATTCAGGACTACAGATTTTTCGGATTCTAGTCGCCAGAGATATTATCAAATTTCGCTTGCGACTTATTGGTACCCAACTGTAGAAGTTTGTCAACTGACCGTTCCACGTAGGTTTTCTGTGTACTGATCTGTTCAAGGTACCATCGGTCTTCTTACTTAAACGAACGTCCAGAAAAGAGATTGTCTCTTTGGTTTCTACTTCGATTGTAAATTTGATGGCGAGATGGCAACTATTGAAAACTTGAAGAACAATATTTTGATCACATTTGTTATCGCAGATGACGAAAGTATCATCAATATACCTTTTGTATAAGAAGAATTTGTCGATGGTTGCTTTCAGCGGACCGTTTTCCAAACTTTCCATGAAAATATCAGCCAACACCGGACCCAAAGGTCCGCGACTGTACAGCTAAGTGAATGAATTCGCCTAAAAGAGACTCTTCGCTGAACTAATTTGTTCTTATTTCAATGTCTTAATGGGTATATTTCGCGAACAAAATGAAATACTTTATAAACTTTACCCTTAGATAAAGACTAGGACTTATGTTATGTGGTTGGAAGCAATCAACATAAAAGCCTGAATTCCGATCTCACGGTTACTCGCCCTCATCAGAAAAGCGCGTCAGCAACCTCGATGGTACTAATTCCCCTCGCTGAGATTTGAACCCAATTGCTGCGGTGCCCCGCTGAATTTCTCTGACTACTATTGACCTTCCTTATGACTTTAGCTGATACAGTGACTGACCGCTGAAGAGTCATTCTACCACTCAGGTGATGCAGATACAAATATCCCACTGGACATCACATCTGAGTTTGCAGATAAGTGTTACAGATTGCCTTCAGTCACTCACTCAGGATTAATTCAAAGTCCACCGCAATAGTAATTTACTTACCTTGACTGCGAAATGATAAACCTGATTGATAGAATTCAGAAAACTCTAAGAAATCATAACACAGCGCCTGAAGAATGCAGTTAAAAGAGCTTATTATGCAGCAGAGGTACGTTGTCTCTTCACAACCACCTCTATTCTATGTTCGAGAAATAAGGATAAACTACCTAAATTTGCCTCTTCTATGTGTATCTACCAGTTTGACTGCAGCTACGGAGCCAGCTACATTGGGCGTACAATTAGGCAGGTTCATCGTCGTATTTCCGAACATCATCCAGCGTGGTTAAGCAAGGGACAAACAAGATCTATTCGTAGTTCTATTTTAGCACACCTTGTTGATACTAAGCATAGGGTTGATGTGAATACCGCATTCAAAGTTATTTATCGCATTCTGACTAATCTTGACTTTGCTCTACGAGTTCGTCTTCTACAGACAGCTGAAGCAATCGGAATCCACCTAAAGAAACCAAGCCTATGTGTTCAGAAGAAACTTATACAGCCACTTTCCTTACCGTGTTCATCGTTACAAGAATGCATAAACAGGACTACGTCGCCCCCCTCCCCCTAAACCTTTAAAAACTATAAAAATTATAATTGTCCAAATCATTTTATTTTTATTTATTTTGACCACTTCGTCCTTAATTACGTGTTGTCTTTGTAAAATTAACTTATTCTATCCATTTCTACCTTTTAATTGTGTATTGATTTTCTTCGTTTATTATCAACCCATTGACATTTTGACACTTTAATTATTGTTAACAAACATATCAGTGCCACTTGATTGGTAAATTGGTGTGTATTGTAATAAAAATGCTGTGTATATTAGAGTACAGCGAGGGATGAGGATCTAATTGAAAAGTAAATATTTCTTCACTCAATCTTTTTGTTTTCTAAATGTCTAAATCGGGATTTTTTCTATATTGAAAAACCTATTCACCGAATTAGTGATACCACCAGCTTATGCGTTCCATTCTGTTTAATACACACTACAGTGAAGATAAAAACTAGAAGGCAAAAATAGACTCACCTTCATCTGTTCATCCATTGAAGCTCTCGACTTGAACAAACAGTGTGATTCACCAGTTGTACAGCTGCTGTATTCAGGTCTGCTGCTTAATAGCTGAAACCATTCATCTTGATAAACTGGTGAATATACTGTTGAATACGGAAAGCCATTTGATGATTTACTTTCGTGTGATGAATTTAAAAGATGATTTAAACTCATTGAATCATCCTCAGCTGAACACTGAGTCCTTCTGGATGAAGATTTGTTCAATGAGCTTGATGCATCTGAGGATTCTACACCCGGCCAAATAGACTTTGGCAATGCCCAACTAACAGCCTCCCAAAGAATTAAAGCCAACGCGTATATATCAGCTTTTTGATAAGACTCTAAGCAGAATGGATTGATTGATTTGGATAGCAGCTGAAAATTTCATCAAAAAGACATTGTATAACAGATTTATTTACTTTTTATATTGACTAATAATTTTGAAATATAATGCGCACACACACACACTTTCGATTGAACACTAGTCAGTAACTAGTGTAATGTGTCTAGTCCTATGTTCGCTGCAGACTGAATTCTATCAGTCAAGCTAGCAATGTGACCACCATGCTAGGTGGCTCACCATTACGGTGGACTGTGGACAGGAAGCCTTGGACCTAGGTTTCGTGCTAGTTGGCACTCACCAGTCAGCAAGGCGTATCTGCAACCTTGAGGTCAGTCGCGAACCTGAATAGCTCAGTGGTAACGTATCTGACTGCAGCACTGGGTGATGCGGGTTCGAATCTCAGAAGGGACATGAGTTCCTTCAAGGTTGCAGATACGCCTTGCTGATAAGTGCCAACTAGCACGAAACCTAGGTGTAGCCAAGGCTTCCTGTGGCCGATTGCCTCCAACCATCTAGTATACACACATTTTCGTTTACCGTTATTATGTCTAGATTGACAGCTCAGTTGTCAAGGGTTATAAAGTTCTAAAACTTGAGCGGGTGTACACATCAATATAGGCATTATTCATAGCTGATTGGATTATTTTGTGCATTTATTAGTATAAGAATAATTGATGTAATGGGTGATGGTTAAAGGTGAAATGACGCCCTACTAACTCATCTGTGAATTTCAATCAGGGTAAACAGGCCGAAACCGCCTAAAACAGGCCTAGACCAGATTACACATCTGCATTTGACTCTGTTCCTAGGTCTCTCTTGTTAAGTAAGCTTGCTGCAACACATACTGAGAGCTGGACAAATAAGTGGTTGCAATCCTACTTTTCTGATAGGAAGCAGTACACTGTCTACAATGGAAAGTCCTCCACTACCTCACTTACTTTAGCTGGTGTTCCTCAAGGTGCTGTTCTTTCTCCTTTTCTGTTTCCTTTTTTCTTACATGACTTGCCCCATTCTGATGTAGCCACTTTCGTCAAGTATGCTGGTGACCTCTCTGTCTCCATGCCTGTCAACTCTCAGTCAGACTGTTCCATATTAAATAACTTTCTCTCGGAAATTAGTCAGTGGTCCTCTTCAAACGGTCTTAAGCTGAATCTGTCTAAATGTCAGGTAGTAAATTTCACTTTCAGACGAAAACGTGACCTACAGCAACTAGATAGCTCACATGGTCCCACTATCATTGATGGCATAGAGGTTGAAACTACATCTAATGTCAAGTACCTTGGACTGAGTATTTCCTCCGATCTTTCATGGTCCTCTCATATCTTGCTAGTTACTAGAAAGATGTTTCGCTTAACGTTCTACGTTAGGAAGTTAAGGCAGTCTGCTATAAAGCAGTCTTTGCTTTCTCAGTTTGTCAACTCTTGTATTCTACCCATCCCTCTTTACTGCTCCCCATTAATCTTTCCTGGACTACTTAAGAAAGACTTTGCTTTGCTGCGTAGGGCACAAAAAGCTGTTAGTAGGGAAAGTGGGATTTCGTTAAACCAACTGGTTAACACTATTGTGGACAGACACATAATGTCATGTAAGAAACTAGCAAATTCTATATTGTCAGACCCCAAGCATCCTCTCTATACGCACCTCTCTTCTTGCATTTCATCTGGTAGAACTAGAAGCAACTATAGGAAGCTATATGCCAGGATTACCAAGTATAAAACCTCCACAATACCTTATCTGGCACAGCTGTTATGTGATGAGAAAACTGTTAGGCATGACACGATCACCTTATTGCGGCACTCTAAATAATAGTTCCCATTAGCTTTTGTTCTCCTTTCTTTGTTACTATTATATTGTTGCTCACATATTCTATTACACACTAATTTTATATTTCATATCTTGTGGTGCATTGTTTAAATATGTGAATTCAATGCTGTTCTTTTTTATTTCTTTTATTTCTCTTTTTTCTTTTTCTTGTTGTTGCTTTTTTATTTTTTAAAAATCTTATAACAATTTATGAAGTAATTAGATGCAATATTGTAATGAACGCTGAAAATTCTATACCTGTACCACAAATACTGTTTGGAATAAAGCTATTATTATTATTATTAAACCAGTTTGGGCAAAGTAAACCACTGGGCAGAGGCACAGTGTTTATTACAGTGTGACTGGAAATCCAAAATATCCTACCTTGTGTTGGCTTATCTTTCTGAGGTATCTAATATATGTATATAGTGTATTTGTGTATCATAAAATTGTATTGTTTTCACCAACATGGACCAATTTGTCTTCATTTTCGTGGGTTCTAGAAGTCAGAAGTACTAATATCGAACTCATCAATCAGCAGAACTATTGTATGATCATCAACATGACACTTCCAGACACGTTATGAGTCACTGAACTTTGATGGTTCAATAGTTGGATGATAATATGCACACCTCGTAATCTGAACACCACTGGATGCACTTCCTTCACAATGAAAAATTGACTTTCAGTGCTATGAGTTGGAAAATTTGTGGTATTTATCGTTGACAGTGGAACAGGCTGAAGGTAATAGAGACCTCAGAAAACTACATCACATAACTAGATCTTTATCAGGGAAGAGTTCTACACAAATGAAACTGTTGAAAGATAGTGAAGGGAATCTAAATACTAAAAAGAAGAAACAAAGGAAATTCTCGGCTGATCATTTCAAAGGACTATTGGTTCAAATTTGAGCATTTCACACACAAACTCTAAAGTCTGCAAGAGAAAACCAACAAGTTTGCAGAAGAGGTGGGAGGGCACCATATTTTCAACTACAAGAGACACGGATGAGGATGTTAAAGCTATGGTGGAAAAAGCAAGACGTGTCCTCACTAATCTGAAATCCGTTTTGAAATCTGCCGCACTCAGCATAAGGAAAGAAAATGTGGATCCCGTTTAATGCTGGCTGGCTGGCTGGATTCAACATAGAACTTGGCACTGAAGTGCAGCAGTTCGAGTTGCCACTTTCCAAATAGCACACAAAGGTAGACAAGAAAATGAGTGAAGAGAATCAATAGAGCCTTGACAAGTATAAGAGTGAAACAGAATGAGTAATGGTAGAAAGGAATATGAGACTGAATATTACAGAGACTGAATACATCTGCGCCATTGACAACGATTTTCAGCCATATCACCTATTGTCTCCAGCCATTGATTCTTAGAGTCCCGAAGGCCCCAACCCGGAAGTCTGAATCTCCCTACCTGACTCAATTTAACTGTCAGGGGTTTCATGGATTGATTGATGTCATGTTTTTGTTTGGCCACCACTTACTCTTTTCCAACCTGCACCTATATCAGCTAGTAATGCCCGTTGGGGTGGGGGAGGCGATGGTTAGGCATGCGCAGCACGTGACCTAGCTATCTCAATCTATGTTACTTTATAGCCTCGTGGATTGATTTTCCCTCCTTTCCAAACATTCCACGCCTAACGTCAACGTTACTTACCTTATTATGCCACCTAACGTGAGAAAGAGATCGTAGACATCTATGATCAAAAACAGTCAACCTTTTCATGTCCTCAACTAGTATTGGCCATGTTTCAGAGCCATAAAGAAGGACGGAGCGAACTGCTGAGCAGTATACACGTCCCTTGGTTGATTAGCCGGATGTCACGCCTACGCCAGAGACGGTGTAAGTTTAATGCTAATGTACCTTTGTAAGTTTCAGAGACTTGACGTGCGCAGTATTGATAGTATTTCCAACTTTCATCAATAATTGCCTTCGCTCTATACTTTAGGTCAGATGGCCAGCTGTGATGAGTAACCCTGGACTCTTGAAACAAACCAATAAAGAGCCTATCATCTAACATATATGCAGAAGGAAGTGTATGTGGATTGCACAAATGCTGAAGAGGCTGATGAGTGATATTACACGCTAAGCCCTCTAGTTGAACTTGAATAAGGAACGACGACTCGGGCATAAAGTCAACAGTGATACAGAGGAGGTCATGTTAGGAGTAAATGAAAGCTTGTGGACAACCATGGAGTAAGTTGAAAAGGACTGCAGAGGACAGGCTGAAATGCATATTGAATCCGGAAGCTCTGTGTTCCACTCGGAACCTAGGGGAATAATAATAAAACACTGAACTGTAAATTATAATCATAGATTAACAGTCTCTCTTTCGATATATGTGTAAAACTTGGGCACTGTGGGAGTAAGTAATTCCATATTAGTTTGTTTATTAGGTATATCACACAGTGAAACAGTATTATTTACTGGATGACGTTTCGAACAAAATTTATTGTTCATAATCATATCAATTGTGATCACACGACTTTGACACTTGATTTTTATAGCTTTCTTTGTTTTCTCCAATTTGTCGTAGGGGGAGTAGAATTTTCCAGATATCGGGGACAGGTGATGAGTCATTCCTATTACATGTATTTGTAGTTGATTCGATAAACAAAGCTTCTGTTATCAATCTCTCCCTATACCCTGTGACATTAGATTTTAAAACTGTCATCCTATCCCATCCTATTGTATGGTTGTGTGTGACTGCATGTAGTGCTATAGCTGAACAATTCTCTAGATTTCTTATCTTATTCGGGTCAATCAATCTAGATTTTGCTAGGTTTTATGTTCAGCTAGTCTGACTGCCCCTGTTCTACTTGTTTGACCTATGTATTTCACGTGACAATCATCACAGAAGGGTATGAGATAAACTAAATTGTTTTGTTTTAAGGGCTCTACAGGATCCTTTAACCGACAAAGCTTGTTTCTAATTTAGTTTGTGGGTTTGAACGCCGTTTTTATTCCTGCCTTGTTAAGATTTCTGCTTAAGGCTTCCGAGGTTCCTTCCTTGTATGGAATTACTGCTGATGATTTAGATTCTTTATTGTTGGTGTCGTCATTAATATTATTATTATTATCACTATTATCATTACCATTATTATTGTTATTATCACTATCGCTACTATCATTATTTATTTTATTTTTACATTTCTTTACATATTTTCTGACTAATTTATCCGGGTAATTATTCAGTTTCAAGGCTTCTTTTATATGTATCAGTTCTTGTTTTAGATTTTCTTTGGTACTACTTAATTTTTGTGCTCTGTCATTTAAACATTTCACCAATCCTATTTTTACTGACATAGGATGGGATGATTGGAAGTCCAAATATCTGTTTGAGTGTGTGGGTTTCCTGTAAACACTAGTGTTTAACTTCCCATCTTCTTTCCTCTTTACGTTGCAATCTAACATTGGGAGCTCCCCTTCCTGATTTTCCAATTCATAAGTGAATTGAATTGCCTCAACCTTCGAGTTGATGTGTTCGAAAAACCTATCTATATCTTGTGTTCTAAGTACAGTGAATGTATCATCTACGTACCTCCACCATACTTTTGGGGTGGGGGTGAACGTTTCAATCGCTATGCTTTCCCACTTATTCATGAGTATATCTGCTACCACTGGGGATATTGGTGATCCCATGGCAACTCCCTCAGTTTGTTTGTATATTTTCCCTTGGAATTTAAATACTGTGGAAGTCAGGCATAGCTGTACTCCCAGCATTATGTCCTCAAGTGGCACTTTTGTCCTAAGTTCGAGGTCTTGGTCAGAAATGAGTTCGTTTCTAACTGCCTCCATAGCCATATTTATTGGAATACGTGTGTATAAACTGACAATGTCAAAACTAACCAGTTTTTCTTCATTATCTAATTTTAAATTACCTAATCTATGTTTTAGTTCATAAGAATTAGTTAGTCTAGATTTCGAGTGGATTTTTAGGGGATTTAATACCATGGCTAAATATTTAGATAATTCATAAGTAGGTGAATTTCTAAAATCAACTATAGGCCTAATAGGGTATCCTGACTTATGAACTTTAACAACACCATACATCCTACTGGGGTTATTAGTTTTGGGCATTAAATTAAACCACATAGACTCACCTAGAAACGGCTTCATTCGGCGTATAAGATCCGCTGTGGATTTCTTAACTCTATTCATAACAGTATCTATTGGTTTATTAATTTCCTCATATGGTCCTGTTTGTATGTGAGTATTTACATGGTCCAAATGGTCTGATTTGTCTAATACTACTGTTGCATTTCCTTTGTCTGGCTTTGTGATAACTATCTCATTTCGATATATATATATATATATATATATATATATAGTGAAATTATGTGTCACGATAAGGTGACTGAAATGAGAATCAAAGTGACGGGAGGATTGCCATCACCGGCTACAATGGAAAATTCATTATTCTAGACTGTTTGTTAAGGAATTTACAAATAACTGGAGCAATTCCTAAGTCAGGTGTCAAATATAGAAGTTCTTCTTTCTCCATGAATGTCTCCGTTACCGTATCCTGCCAACCAGCGTCAGATCGAGCCCACCAATCGGTTGCCTATTAGGACGGAAATTGGATCGATAATGTAGAAAACAAAAAGATGAAATCAATAATCACTGATTATTATATAGTGTTACAAATCAAACTGCGATTCCCATGAATAAGTGATCATTCAAGTTAAACAGAGAGAGAGAAAACTAACCTCTGGTGCCAGGTACCGAGGTGTACCGGCATGTAGTCCACCTATAGGCCACCAGTCTAAGACTTCTAACCTATCGAATAGTGAATTGGAAGTTTCATTTTCAAATGGAAGATTGTATGGTTGATCCAAAGACCTACAGTTCTCACGAAAGCATGCATTACACTCGGTTCCTGTCAAGTATTTATTAAGTAAAGGATCATCACTGAGCTTTTCGGATGCAGTAAAGTCACATGAATTACCACTGACATCTGTATGCTTTATCAGGTAATTCTCATACTGCTCATAAACACTGTACAAATGATCTGTAGGAATAGGAAGTGGACAGGGAGGCGGTGATCGAACAGCATATCCAATATCACCAATACAACATGACCAATCAGAACGAATATATATGTTTGATGGCTTCAGATTTCGATGAGCAATAGATGGTTTTCCTCGAGTACCAGAAAATTCTAAAATAGAGAGAGAATATTAAACAGATGATTGCAGTAAAAGTGTTGCGAAAAATAACTGACTGATAACACTGTAACTGATATCAATCCGTGATCAACTCGTAAAAACATAACTAACCCTTACAAACCAAACTATAGAAATTTGTACAGCCACTTTCCTTACCGTGGCCATCGTTACAAGACAGGACTACGTCACCCCCCTCCCCCTATTAAATTATAATTCTCCAAATTATTTTATTTTTATTTTGACCACTTCATCTTTAATTACGTGTTATTCTTGTAAAATTAATTTATTCTAACCATTTCTACTTTTTAAATGTGTATTGATTTTCTTCGTTAATTATCAACCCATTGACATTTTGACACTGTTTAGTTGTTGTTAACAAACATATCACCATTTGTTTGGTAAATTGTTGTGTATTGTAATAAAAATGCAATATATATTAGAGTAGAGCGAGGGATGAGGATCTAATTCAAAAGTAAATGTTTCTTCGCTCAATCTTTCTGTTTTCCAAATGTCTAAATGGGAATATTTCCTATGTAGAAAATTAATCTGATGCTCTCCAGTGTCTTGCTACAGGATGGAGTTTCCTGGAGTTCTAGGGAGAAATCGTGACCAGTGAGGTTCAACCAGATGTCACGTGTGAGGATGGATGTCCCACCAACGACAATAGTTGGGGTCACGTTAAATTACGAATTGGTAGAAGTTAGAATTCATAGGCCTAGGTCATTGAATTGGGTCCCAGTGGCTGAATGGTATACGAGCTTGCCTCGTAACCGGAAGGTCCTGGGTTAGAACCCTGGCAGTGGGTGCGTACTGCCGATGATTCCCAAACTAGCATGAAACAGCTGGCTGTCCAGTACTCCCTGGTTTTCAATTGTTCTCTAACTGATATCAATCCGTGATCAACTCGTAAAAACATAACAAACCCTTACAAACCAAACTTTAGAAAAAAATGTGCAGTCTATTTGTTCTCATTATAATAATCTAAGAATACTCTCCAGCTGTAGAATGCTCGCCAACCACACGTGTGATCCGGGGTCAGATCTTCGGCCAGAGACGCACTCCTTTATCTCACCAAGTCAGTAACAAGACTGATAAAGAGATGGAAGGTTGAGCATGAGTCTAGCAATTCCATCCCGTAAAAATAAATACCACTGTCACCGAAACTTCAAAGCTTTAGCTTGAAGCCGCCCTATGTTCCACTGGGAAAGTAAAGGAGTAAAATAAGAAACAATAATTAGAATACTCTTTAAGCAAACACATATTTCCAGTAATTCTACATAAAGGATTTACACATATGTAATAAAATTATACAGCATGGTTATTTGATGCCATTGTGGTTAACAGAATTAAAGTTTCAGTGGACGAATTGGTCTATGATAAACAAAGTGATAATTATAATAGTGATAATAATAATTGGAAACATTTATTTCCCGATACGAATTTAAAACAAGCAATGAAGGTTAATAAAGCAGGATATAATGAATTCATCAAATTTCGGTAGAACTCGTCAGCTGAATACTCTACATACACGGATATATATACTTTTGAAATTACATTGGGAGATATAGGACTGATTAGCAAACAAACTACATTGAATTAGTCATGCAGAAAGACAGGTGCGAATGTTTTTCCAGGTCATGTTCAAATAGATAAATACATATAGAAATTTCAAGCCGATTGGGTCACAAATCCAAAAACTATACGGGCGTGTTAAAATACACAAACCAGGAGCGCCGTTAAGACCCATACTCTCGATGATAAACTCACCATACCACAAATTAGCACAGTGGCTATGTGAAATGTTGCAGCCCCTGCGGAAACGCTTCGGAAAGTATATAGTTTCTGATTCATTCCAGTTTGTCAAGCAAATCAAAGATTTCAATGTATCTGATAAACATTTGGTCTCTTTCGATGTCACCTCCCTCTTCACAAATGTGTCAGTCAATGAGACTATCGACTTCATATGCAAAGAAGCTGAAGACATACCCATTCCAACGTCGGAATTGAGGAAATTGCTGCTTTTATGTACTAAAAATGTCCAATTCCAATTCGACGGGAGTCTATTCCGTCAAGTTGATGGTGTCGCAATGGGAAGCCCCTTGGGACCACTTTTCGCTGACTTATTCTTGTCACGCCTAGAAACCGGTACCTTGCAGCAACATATACAAGAAACGGATCTATACCTAAGATATGTTGATGACATTTTTATTGTCTGTGGAAGCAGATCAAAGGCCGAAGACATGCTGATAAAACTCAACTCATGCCATCCAAATCTCAATTTCACAGTAGAACACGAGGAAAACGATAGTATTAAATTCCTAGACGTTTTTCTGGCGAAAATGAATGATGGCACAATCGAAAGATCTATATTTAGAAATTCTCTATGGACAGGACAGTACATGCATTTCAAGAGTTCTGTTCCAATCCAGTATAAAAGGAATTTAGTCAGGACACTGTTCAATAGAGCACGAAAAATTTGTTCTGACAGTACTGTTGAGCATGAAATAAAATCCTTGGAGGATATCCTGTCTAAGAATGGATATCCTGAGAAGTTCATTAATATATACTCTGAAGAAAACAGCCCCTGCAAAACAATCCAAACAGTTCCGAAGAAACCTGTCTATATCAGGTTGCCGTTCAAAGGAGATGATGTACAGGAAGTAGTCAAACGAAGACTCGACAAAGCCATCAGGAGAACTTATTATGCTGCAAAACTTGTTTTCCTTAACACCACTAAGCGAGTGCTTCAACAATCTGGGAAAGACCAGTCGCCAATCCTCGACACTTCAAACTGCGTATATCAATTTGAGTGTGTTTGTGGAAGCAAATACATAGGTCGTACGGAAAGGCGATTGTCTACTCGCATGATGGAGCATTTGCCAAAATGGTTGAAAACAGCTGAGTGCAAAGTGCCAAAATCCTCAATAACAAAGCATCTTGTGGATTACGGACATGATATCGACGCAGTCAAGTCATTCACTATTGTCAGCAGACAAAGAAACAAGAAGATGCTTGCAATTGCAGAGGCTTGTGCAATTCGAGTTTACAAACCAGGTCTCTGTGTACAAAAGGAGATGGTCGTGACTCTGAATCTACCATGGTAATACGTTTTACTTATAATTCTACCTCTTATTATTATTATTCTCATTATTATTATTCTTGATTCATTTAAAACTATCCTTTATCAGTAGGATTATCTTAACTCACTTCAACACTATTATTATTATTGTTATTATAACTATTACTATTGACATCCCTCTGTTTGCAATTCTTGTTATATTCTCTAATGTCTAATTGTTTATCTAAGTGATGTAATTGAAGCGTAATGCAATTTATCTTAATTTTGATCTCTCATACTCTCTCTCCCCTTATCTATTTGAACATGACCTGGAAAAACATTCGCACCTGTCTTTCTGCATGACTAATTCAATGTAGTTTATTTGCTTATCAGTCCTATATCTCCCAATGTAATTTCAAAAGTATATATATCCGTGTATGTAGAGTATTCAGCTGACGAGTTCTACCGAAATTTGATGAATTCATTAAATCCTGCTTTATTAACCTTCATTGCTTGTTTTAAATAATAATAATAGTAGAAGTCGTCCAAGTACTCATATAACAGCGGTCAGACGAATTAAACTCAACGTTCCGTCATTGGAACCTACACCACAGTTTCCTTCAGAAACCGAAATTTTTCAGATCACAGCATATGATCTGCTTGACACTGTAAGTGGTAATCAAGAAAGCAAACATGTTTGCATAAACGTATATACTACTGGCTAATCGAGATGAGTAGTTGCATAGCAAGCATATCAACCAGTAGTGCTTGCTAGCTACTGATTTGAACTTCTTCGGTTCTCTAAGATAGGATAGACCGGCTACGCCGATGATGAGCTCGGCCACAAACAAGTGAAACAGTCGTCTGATGTTTAGGTAGCTGTAATCTGGCTAGAAAGCACTACTTGTTGAAATGAGCGCTGTATGCTCACTCATCTCAATCAATGTTGCAGTATGTAATTTTATGCAAATAGCTTGGCAGCCAGTCATTATCGATGTATAAGTGGATTACCTTTGTGAGTATATGTGATGATGGACTGTGAGAAGCAAAAACGTTGGTATTTGACTTCAGCATTTAAGAGAGCGGCAGCTCCTGAATCACTGGCAATGAAGTTTAGAAAAACAGCAGCAAGAGTGTACTCTGTCGCAACTCTACGAGTAAAATTCAACGTTTCTTTTTGTAAATTCAATGCATTTATTAAATTTAACCCCTGCTCTGATAGAGGTAGATACACAGATATCAGGACTCGACAAGTCAAACAATGTTTTTGACAGCACTGTTCAATATGGTTGGGAAATGGAGTAAAAAGTTGATAAAAATAAACATCTTTACCCATTCTATATCAGATGCCTTACCGATTCTCTTCGATTGCTAGGTGTAGTTGAAAAGGTTGCTATCAAAATTTTTCAATCGAGTCTACACATTAAGAAAACGTTAGTCCGATTGCTCTCCTCCATATATGTCCTTCTTCTGCAGCCTAGATACATCCAGTATAGTCTCCTTTCAAGGTGACTTCGGGCAATGGTTGGCATTATCCTGATTATCATCACTGTACTCTGCCAGAAATTTCAAATTCATTCCTTTGTTACAGGATTTTCATCATGAGCTGACATCAGTTAGAGAACCATTGGAAAACCTGGGAGTACTGGACAGCTGTTTCGTCCTAGTTTGGGACTCTTCATCAGTACGCATCCACCGGGATTCGAACCCAGGACCTTCTGGTTACAAGGCGAGCTCGTATACCATTAAGCCACTGGGACCCGATCCAATGGCCCATGAATTCTAACTTCTGCCAATTCAAAACATAGCGCGACCCCTAGCCAATGTCTTCGGCGAGTATTTGTCCTCACACCCGACCTGCTGCACCCTACTGGTCACGACTTCTCACTAGAACCCCAGGTAACTACCTACCTGAATAAGGCAAGTCGCTAGTGAGCATCTCATTGATATTCAAGTGTTGGTTTGTAGGGATTTGTGTTTCGAGTAGATCAGAGGACTTCAAACCTCAGCTTTGAAGTTTCAGAAGCACAAGGCGTTGATATTTTACGCCATTGCCTTCCGTCCTTACTGGGTCTACCATTGGCTAAGCAAGGTTTAGGAATTAGTCAGCCGGGGATTGAACCACAAACCACGTGTTTAGTTAGCAAGTATTCCACCATGAACCACCAATGCAACACTCTACTCAGTTACACAAATCAAAGGTTATTTTATACAGGAAGCCAGTATGCAACGACAACAAAACATATATATATATAAACACTGAGACTTACCTGAGTGCAAAAACCAAAGTCCTTGGGCTAGACTATTTGCAATCTCCATAAGTATACGTAGTCGGGTAACTTCAGAATTACATGTTGTAGTATCAAGCTGGTCATTTATACATGCCATCATATCACAGTTCTCGGAAGCAATTGGATGTTTACGAGAAACTACATCCGGAATATTGTTTGACAAGAGATCTTTTAAAGTACCGTAACAGCATTTTTCACCGATAAGCAAAGCACATGGTGAAGGTACAACCGATGTTGTATACGGACAGCTATTTCTAAGAGTAGAAAGATATGTTTCGGTGGGATAAATAAGCCAGTCAGCAAACATTAACCCATGAATTGATTTATGTCGAAGCAGAATTGAACGATGTAATGAAATTGTCCGGCACCAGACGTTATTCGCCAAACGGTTGCCTGGGTGAAACACTTTAGCAGTAACTTCTTCACCTTTGAATATACCTTTCAACGAAAACAACATTCGAACAGAGTTTAAAACTATGCTTCAGAAGGACATCAAGATTTAAGTACTGATAGAAAACCAGGGCACTACACCTATCTAAAGTCAGATTCATCTACAGGTTTGATCACTAGATGTGACATCCCTTGGGAAGTACCATCAGCCCCAACGGGTTGATCTCTGACGAAATCTCAGCACGAATACAGAGGGCTAGGGTCGCATATGCCAGTTTGCACCGTCTCTGGCGTAGACGTGATATCCCGCTGGCTATCGACCAAAGGGCGTGTGTACTGCTCAACAGTCCGCTCCGTCCTCCTTTATGGCTGTGAGACCAGGCCATTGAGAGCAGAAGACATGAAAAGATTATCTGTGTTCGATCATAGGTGTCTGCGTTCTATGTCCCGTGTGAAGTGGTATAATAAGGTGAGCAATATTGAGGTTAGGCATCCGTCGAGTGCTAGGTAAGGCGGGGAAATCAGTCGACGAAACTGTGAAATTACATCGATTGAGATGGTTAGGACATGTGTTACGTATGCTTAGTCATCGCCTTCCTCCACCGACGGGCAATGTTAGCCGATATAGGGTCAGGCTGGAAAAGAGCCAGTGGTGGTCAAACCAAAACATGGCACCAGTCAATGAAATCTACAGCAGTTAGTCTAAGCCACGTAGGAAGATGTAGACTTCCTGGTTGGGGTCCTCGGGACGGTAAAAACCAATGGTTGGAAACAATTGGTGACATGGCTCAAAATCGTTGTCAATGGCTGGCGCAGATGCATCCACTCCTTGTGACTTATGGTTTCCAATTAAACTGTTTTGTCCTTCGTTATTACTATTCCTTTGTCTCACACCTCTGTTTACTGTCTATATTATGCATTTCTCCTACTTTCTTCTGTTGCTTTGTGTGCTACAAGGAGGGAGTGTGGCGACTTGGACTGCCGCACATATGTGCAAAGTTCTATGTCGAAAACCGACCGACCGACCTTAGAGAACCATCTGAAGACCAGACAACACTGCACGGCTGTTTTGTCCTCGTTCGGGACTCTTTATTAGCACACGCCCACCGGGGTCCTGACCCAGGACCTTCTGGTTATAAGGCGAACTGACAGACTATTCAGGCACTGAGATGCTCTCCAACTGCCCATTATGTGTCTATCATTCTTGAGCATTTATATTATAATTATCGTACCGACAAACATTTCAGTCAAATCAGCCACTGCATAACCATAAAAATCAGTATTCAGATGTTACATGTGTACCGATCAAAACAAGGGAAATATATTTTGTTTCAGTTAGACCCAATAGTTTCAAAAAAGTCAATTTTTTAATATGCTTTTGTGAAACTGAAAGGCAAAAGTATTTCAGCAAACCTTCTTATTAATTCAAACAATGTTTTTCAATAGTTTTGGATAGGATTACTAGAAGGTGGAGGATATCTGAAGTGTTTTCAATGTATTTGAAATCAGAATGGACTATTTTGTCCTGTTGCACAAAAATGAATTTAGTGGAGAACGTTTCAGTGATGAGATTCCCCTCTCTGGCCTAATGTATTGGTTTTCGAAGGGATCAGTCTTCTTACCTTATTATGTACCACCTGAAACACACAAATAACAACTTAAAAACGAAGTCTCAATTCCATCATCTATCATTTATTTATTTAAACGCAGAAAAAAACTTGGTACAATATGGCACCAAGAAAGATGCGCCACACAATAATAATAAAACAACATAGATTAAAAGAAAAAATATAAGTAGAAAACGGATAAAGAACTTCATCTGGAAGGAAAACAGTCATGTTTAACAAGTTCAAACAGTATTCGTTAACTATCATCAGGAAGGGAAGAAAGAAGGAAATTGCAACACGTTCGCCATTGATTACGATTCTTGGCCATATCCGCTAACGTTTCGAGCCATCGATTCGAGCTATCTCGCGGACCCCAACCAGGGAGTCGTGACGCACCAACCAATGCTAATCTAGCACAAAAATCCTTCATCCCACGACGCCACGTCATGGACTGACCACCCCTCCGCCTTTTCCATCCCGTCCCAGGGCTGGCTAGCGAACACAGACCTGTACGGAAGCCTCTGGGATGACATTCGCAGCACATGTCCAAGCCACCGGAGCCGGTGTTTCCAGATGACGACACTCAATGAATGGTGATCTCCAATGTGTTCAAACACACGCCGTCGAACCTCAGAATTACTCACGCGATGATGCCATCGAACGCAAGCAATCCTGCGGAGACAGCGATGATCGAACACGCAGAGTCGCCTCACATCCTCAGCTTGGAGAGGCCAGGTTTCACAGGCGTAGAGCAAGACAGCCCGCACCGAAGCATTGTATACCCGACCTTTGACAGCCAGGCTAACATCGCGACGGCGCCAGAGGTGGCTCAATTTGATGTATGCCACCCTAGCCTTCATTATACGGTTGGAAATCTCGTCCGTCACCCCTCCGTCAGTACTCACAAAACTACCCAGATACACAAACTTATCAACAACTTCAAGCGGTTCACCCACAAGAGTGAGTGCAGGTACAGGCTCCTGCCAATCTTGTAACAGTACTTTGCACTTAGACGGTGCAAAGCACATACCATACTTACAGACACTGATCGCCAACTGATTAAGTGCGATTTGGGCAGCCTGCATGCTATCGCACAGTAAGACGATATCGTCTGCATACTCGAGGTCGAAAAGTCTATCTCCAGGTAGCAGATCTACACCACCTTCACGCACATCCTTCAGAGCTGACTCCAGAATGTCATCGATGGCAAAGTTAAAGAGAAATGGAGAGATTGTCATCATCTATCAACTTAAGTAGTACTTGTTAACTAATTCCACCTAAGTACTTTACTTCCAAAAACTTACTGTATCTGATAGAATTGATTCTTTTGTATAATTCTAATAATAGTACCCTAAAGATATCAAAGGTCGCATTCTGGTGTAGTTGTGCAATAGGATGTTGTCATGGCACCATCCTTTTTGCACATACTGTAGACGATTCCAGATGACTTTTTAGAATGTCAACACTACAATAATATCGCCATCGTAGCTTTCACACTATAACTTTTTCTTGCCTGTGAGTTTTTAAAGCATGACTTACACTTTCTTCAAGTTCTAATTTAATTGTAAGACATTCCCAGCTTCTATTACCACTTTCTTTGTTGTTAGTCTTCGTGGACTTTCTAATAACTTCAAGATAAAATGTCAGCTATATGCTACACAATGACTGCATACAAGTGTACGTGGCCAGGCCGAATGTGAGACTATCTATGGAAATACAAGGTTTGAATTTCTAGTAGCAATCATATTTTGTGTGTACCGAATTATCCGATTATGAATCTAAAGATTGGATATTTTTTACTTGTATTATTGTTGAATAGTCGGAATACACTCGGCTTCTTTGAATTTCGGACCAATACAAGTTCCCAATCTTAACTTCCCCATATCTCTTGGTTTTATACTACTACTAAACTAAAGTTTTTCTTGGAGATGTGAAGTTATTTAAGGAAATAATAAGCTTAGTGGAATCTGATGAGAAATAGTTGGAAGCCCTAAGCCTACACCGTGGAATTCAAACTAGAGTCTTTAGCCACAGTGTGCCCCTAAGGATATGAGAAGATTAATTCTTTGTTATTTTGTTGCTGAGAGGGTGAATAATATGTCTTCAGCATTGCATTACTCTATCTGCAATTTACGCTGATAGACCTTGAGTGAACTGGCTTCAGTTTAAACCACTTCACCACTAAGTGCAAAGTAATGAAGTAAACTAAACCAGATATTTACTGAGGTGATGTAGTACAATATACAAAATAAAGGAAAAACGAAACGGGGGTATTCACAGTTTTCCTTATGGTTGTTTCTATTAATTACCAAAAGTAACATTCTTTTTTTTCTGTGTATTCAAGTGACGATCATTTCCAAAAATAACATCAATAAGCAACGTCATTATAAAATAATTCGGCAAAAAAACTATGGAAATGACACAAGTAATTACTCTGTACGCGCAGAACTGTTTCGCTTATGGTGATCGCTGATGAAATCTCAGCACGGATACAGAAGGCTCGTTTCGCATATGCCAGTTTACACCGTCTCTGGCGAAGACGTGATATCCTCCTTTATGGCTGTGAGACCTGGCCATTGAGAGTGGAAGATATGAAAAGGCCGGTTATCTGTCTTTGATCATAGGTGCCTGCGTTCTATCTCCCGTGTGAAATGGTATAATATGGTGAGCAATATTGAGGTTAGGCCTCCGTCGAGTGCTAGATAAGGAGGGGAAATCAATCGAGGAGGCTGTGAAGCTACATCGACTAAGATGGTTAAGACATGTGTTGCACATGCCTAGCCATCGCCTTCCTCGATGGGCAATGTTAGCTGATATAAAGTCAGGTTGGAAAAGAGCCACTGGTGATCAAACCAAAATATGGCTGCATCAGTCAGTGAAATCCACAACAGTTAGTCTAAGCCACGTAGACTTCCTGATTGATTGGGGTCCTCGGGACGGTAAACACCAATGGCTGGAGACAATCGATGATATGGCTCAAAATCGTTCTCCGTGATGGCGCAGATGCGTCCACTCCTTGTGACTTATAATACCTAATAAAACTATACTGTTCTTTGATATTACTATTATTTTTGCCTCATATCTCTCTTTACTGTCTCTATTTTGCATTTCTTTTTACTTGCATCTTCTTCTATGGTTTTGTGTGCTAAGTGAAGCGTGGTGACTCAAACTGCTGCACATCGGTGGAAAGTCCTATGTTGAAACCAGTCAGTCAGCTTATGGTGATTGTATGATGTCATTTAAAAAAGACAAATACTGATGCAAAATAAAACGAAGACAACCGTAACGACTCACCGTCCCAAACGTCTGAAATCCGCCCATCACCAAGAAACGTGTTTAGAGTGATTTGTCCATTGCCTGTCTGAGAAGCTATGGTATTTAAGCTACTTTGAGTTAATAAATATGGAGAGGAATATGTTTTATTGGTTGTGTTACAGTCAGCATCATGATCCTGGTTAGATGAGAAGGCATATAAACTTGGACCACAATGACATACATTTAGCTTATGTTTATTTACAGTAGTATGTATTAATTGTAAATTCTTGCTGCATGGCTGTTTGTCCTTAGCGTTAACATTGCACATTGTTTCCACGGTTGGTGGCTTTGTCGCATAACTGCATTTATTAAACTCAGAAAGACAACATCCCTCCTTCTGCATACGACGCTTATAAATATAACAAACAAGTGCGAGAATAATTGACAGTATAAAGAATACTAAACTGTATGTCACCATTGGTACAGTATGAAAGAGATATGCAGTCCCAGAGTCAGGAATTAAGTATTCTTTAGACAGTTTACTTTCAATCAGGTTTTTATTATGTATACTTCTGACAGATGAACGAGCTATTAACATATCTGGACCCAAATTGAGATTTGGCTTGAAACCGGTATTCTCTCTAACAAAATCTCCTTCTTGCCAAAAACCAGTTTTCTTTATATGTTTCAGTGCACTGTCCACCGCTTCTAGGTCCTCAGTGTAGTGGTGGAACTTTGGAAAGAGAGCAGCGTTACACATATTGCCAGAATCACAGCACTCAATTGATTGTGGAATTGCATGTTTGGTGAGATAGCTACTGCAGGCAAGTACCACTCTTTCATACGAATCGATGCACCCATATATGAGTCGGATAAAATTATTTAAAATGTCAGGTTTTATTTCCATCGAGAGAGATGAGTTTTTGAAACTATTTGCACTATCCAACATTTTCAAGCGAATGAAATTTCCAAGTGATCCTTTATCTATTACTCTGGCCGCATAGCATTTCCCACCTGATTTCACATAACATCGACCTATTTTGTTTCCTTTCACATCATTGTGGGTACTTGACTTCTTTGTGCATTGAGAATTGTCATTGCACGAACACACCAACTTCTTTGACTCTGAATTTACTCTTTTTATGATCATAAATTTCTGGGCTTAAAATGCTGCAAAGATGGTGAAAGCATTTTCACTGTTGAGACATCCACAAAATATATACTGTTTTATGAAAGCATCACGAACAACCACGAAAATAGTCAAATGTAACTCAGCATGTCAAGGACGTTTGCATATGGAGCAGTTAAACAGCTGCAGTTTCGGTTTCAGGATTAATGCTTGAAAGTACACAAGCCCTCTCTTCTTCTGATTTGCAACTCTGTCATGAAATTTTGGAGATACGTATGTGGCAGTAGATTTTTTTAGTCTGAAATCTAGTTTCTATGTATGTAAATTCCCTTCTTGTACCAATATCCAATATATCCAATATCGTTTTTACGAGCTAGTATAAACCAATTTGATTTCTTTGTGCTCGCCTCTTGATTGTGAGGTATAGGTTCCTGATCTTCGGTAAACTTCTGCGTAGCTCGTCCCGCCACTCGACTGTCGTAGCTTTGGTTGACTCCAAAAGGAGTAGTGCAGGGATTAATTATATGTGGTTTGTAGTATGAGGTGTGTTAAGACTGTTACTACTGTGAATGGAGTTGATCCTTTCACCAGTTATTGGGGTTTGCTATAAGTTTTTAGCGAGATTAGCCTGGAATGACCTCCCTCCCGAATCTTGCATTGCACCGGTTCCTGAGTTCCAGGTATGCATCATGGTCGATCTGACTCTTAGATACGCGCCACGTAAACCAAGCCTTCCACTTTGCTTGCAGAATACGTTGCGTGCCTCTCTTCAACCATGATGACTTTCTTTTGGGCTGTGTTGTGACTAAAGGGACGGTACCCGAGATTACTGTTTGAATAATCTTTTTTACCAACTCCCAGTGTTCATCCACAGATAGCTCATCACACGCTAAGGGCCAGTCTGCGTCGGACAAGAGCCTCCGCATTTCAGAATAGTCAGCCTTACTGTAACACAGACATGGTCGCGTAACGTCCCACTGCAAATGCTCACGGAGAAAGAGATCGAAACCTATGACTGTATGGTCACTACTTCCTAGAGGAGTCATGATCTGGACCTTTTCGACGAATAGTTGGTCACTAGTTAGAATGTAGTCTAGTTTTGATGATTTTCCACTAGGGCTCCACCTAGTGTCGTCTCCAACATTCTCAGTCAGTCCCGTGTTTCGAACAGTTTGCAGTAGATTTCGGCCAAATTTTCTCTTAGCATGCCTCGAGCCAAGGTTCAGTGATGCGGCATTGAAATCTCCAGCTATGGTGATTTGGTCATAGCCCAAGTCCGTTGCGCGCACATATTTAAGTTGCCTGTCAAAGTATATATAGCAACTCCCCCTCCTTCCTTATTATCCCTATCTCTCCTGACCAGAACCATATCACCTATACTAATTTCGTTATCGGCGATAGTGGGGGTTAGCCATGTTTCGGTGAGAATGATCATTTTCAGTTGTAGGCGTGCTTGGAGATTTCGGAGCTCACCTATTTTTCCTCTCAGCCCCCTTACACTGCTATATAGGCAGCTGACAGTTAGTCTTACAACCTCAGCGTGTTGTGGAGTAGTTGACGTGAAGCTGTCTGCTGGTAGGGGACTTAATTTTGGGACTAGTTGGCCGATTCCGATGGGACCGGCCCGCTGTAGTTTTTTCCATGGATTTAGGCAGGACACTTGGGTGACACAGACGGTTGCTCTCAGAACTGCATCGCTCCAGTGTCACTAAAGCTTGAGGACGTATTAAAGCCTCAGTCTGCTGCCTCGTTATGGTTCGAGATCTGCTTTCGCAGCATCGGATGTGTCCTCCCATTTTCCCCTTGATCTCATACCAGCGTTGAAGTGCTATAGCCAACTGCTCCGGGGAGTTGAATGTGACACTTAGCAGCTTTGAAGAGCTAATCAGTGTGAGATGAGCGGGGCGAGGTAGTCGGGAAATAAAGATGGCTCCAGAAGCGCCAAGGGCAAACTGAGATGACAGCCATCTCCATCGCTGTACGTCATGTTTGTGTTCTTCACAAGCAGTGCCCGTTTCCAGCTCCGGAGCACCGCGTAACACCATAGACGTAGAAGGTCTCAGTTCCGGTGACTCCTCCACCATTTGTCTGATTGCCCATGGTATGTCTTGTCTCACTCTTATGTTCGAACTTCTGTCGATGGCTAGTACCTGAGCCATCAATAGTACCTTTTCGGTCTCTTCGGCAGAGTCCAGTGTAACCCGTAATGGGGGTGGCTTACCTTGAGGTGTGTGGACTCCCCTGTACAGCCTACACAATTTCACTGAACTAATGTTCAGACCTAATTTATTGCACAGGTTGGAACACTGTTCCTGATCAAACAGGGCTCTTTGTTCAAGCATGCTATCCTTGCTCACAGGTACGTTAAAGAGGACAAGAGAATTAGACCGATTAAACTCAGACTTAGGTTTGGCCTTTGGCTTCTTGTATTCCTTTGCAGCGTCAGCAACTTTAGGCTTCATCAGGTTCTGGCCAACCTTTGTCGTGTTGCCATGCTTGCTTGTGGATGCAAGTGGTGCTTTTCTAATTCTATCTTCCTTTGATGTTGTGGGTGCAACCTTGTGAATCTTCACCTTGGCATTTCCAGTCAGTAGGACTGGAGCGTCGTTCTTACTGTCTGTGCCAAGTTTTGGCAGTGCGATGTTAGCAGGTGGAGAGCTGCATAAGATTGTGTCGAGACACAAGAGCAGACACGCTATGTGGGACTATGCCAGAGCGACAAAGTGAATAGATGTACCAAAACCGCGGGCATGGGTTATTTCTCATAAACTCGTAGTATGCTTTCGGCACCTCTTTGTCACAACGGCAGTGCATCCATCGTTTGCAAAAATTGCATTCAAACGCTGAATGAGTTTTAGAAACTATGATACTGCACGCCTGACATTCGACTCCCTTACTTGATGACGCCTTCGAGGTCTTATGACGTCTTGAACGTTTCCTTTTAGGTTTGCTGTGTTTCACACACTGGCTTTCAGTTGATGAAAGTGATAATAAGTATTTTTTCCCCCTGGTATTGCCGTTTCAGTACTAGACTGTGACAATGCAGGCGTAATATCAGGATAGACGAGACCTACATCAGTCTTTAGGATCGGTATGTGGGAAGGGGTTGATGTCCCTGGGTTTTCACCTTCTTTGGCTGAAGCCCTTGTGACTACAGAGTATGGTGTTTTAGTGCCTATTCTAAAGCTATTTTCGACAGCCATATTAACAATCGCTAAAACTTATGTTATATAAGAATATGAGTGCAACAGTATCTACCCAAAAGAACAAGAATAAGACTGATAAAGTACAAGACAAGGAAAAGAAAAGGTTTTCGACTTTACCTAGTACTTTATGGATGATGGGCTTCACAGCAATCACGTGGTAGACCAACAAGTCTTGTTAATCTGAACGAGTGAGGAAGATGCTGCTACAAAAGTAGCACCTGAAGCTTTGGCAGTAGTTCGAGACACATGTAATAAGTGTGGATTATGTGGGCTAAAAAGAGGGAAAGAAAGAAAGAAAACGTAAGAATATACAGCTAATGAAATTTGAAAATGATATGTTTACATGGTACATATATATCAGTAGTAGTTATAATAGTGTCAGGGAAGTAATAGTTGGAGTAATCAGGGGAGTTAGGCAGCAGTGAATGCAGAGAAGTAAAACGATGAGTTTATGTATCTACCCATTATAATGCTTAAGATTTTAAGGGGGACAGGCCGTTTGGACGCAGTCCTTCTGTCGCTGCATTATTGTCCAGCCTCCGCCTAAAGCTCTCCACGGACGGTGCCGTATCTATATCTGCCCTCAAGGAGTTTCAGGGTTGGCAAATTCGCAATGTAAAGAAATGGCTGCGCATCTAAGTCTTTGCCCTTAGATGCAAAGGGCATCTAACCCTAACCCTGACACCCTCAGTCGACATAAAGTTAACGCTTCAGTCGGCTAACCTAACCAAACTCTAAAGTGTCGTTGACCTAGGTCTGAGGTACTCGAGTAACCTAACATTCTCTGAGCAAGTGGCATCACAGACTCAAAAGTCGAGGATGCTCTTAGGATGCATACTCAGGAACTTTCACGACAATGAAGCAAAGCTCATTCTGTACAAAACCTGTGTGAGGCCACTACTAGAATACTGTCCATTTATTATAAGCAGCACTCACACACGTGAAAAGCTAAGAGTTGAAAGTATCCAACTATATTTTACCTCGAAACTACTAGGCTACGAATGTAAGAAAGACTACATCTCACGGTGCATGATTCTACAACTTGATCCACTCTGGACAAGACGACTAATTATAAACCTAGTATTCTTCTATAAGGTCCTACACAAAATATCATTCTCAGACATTAAGGACATACAATTCGCACAAGAAGGCTCTTACGATCTGCGTAACCAAAATTGCACAGTGACAATAAAAGCCTTTAAGTCAACACTCCGCGAAAACTTCTTCACAGTCATGTATTCTAAAATATGGAACAATCTGCCCCTAGATGTCAGGAACTGCAATACAGTTTAAAGTTTCAAACGCCCTCTGTACACACTATTTCACTCTACCGACTATATAAATAAACTATTTATTCCTGGAACGAATCAACTATTAGTCCACTACAGTACCTAAACGCGCTTAAATACCCTTACTTCTCTAAAGACTATAAATAAACTAGTAGCATAAATGCATAAAATGACATAGTAGAAACAAATTTTTGTTCATCAAATTACAATGTACAACGAATATAAACAAATATTTCCCAATCCACGTACTTTTTCTTTGTCCTCTGGTACATTTCTGTTGTATTTACTTTGTAGTAGAAGTTGCATTGATCTACATTCAGACTGAAGCTGAGAAACAATTGAAGTCACTTACTCATATGTCATCCCTCAAGGCTTGGCTAGTAATGGCTCAGCATCCTTGATGAAATCCACTGTCACCATAACTAGACGCTGTACAGCATCTTATACAAGCACTGTCAACGATCTAAAATGGTTTTTATATAGCTTTCTACGTGTTTATCAACTTACTCGTACGGAGCAACCATGCTGTGACAAATGGCGGGCTATGGGTGACTTGAGTGCAGTAAAACAAATCTGCTTGAAATTGACCAATATTAATCTGCATTCAGTTGAACTCACATCTGGTATTACTTGCAAAAAATGATGTCAAAA